TATCATACGCAAACTATTATTTATTTAACCACTTGAGCTCCGGAACAGGGCGGACTGACAACTCATGGGGCCCCCGGGCAATAGTAGATCATGGGGCCCCTGTGTCCTTGCCCAAACTCAAAAAAGCCTATGAAAAAGGTACCAGGGGCATCTCATGGGGCCCCCTACTGGCCCCGGGCCCTCGGGCAGTGCCCAAGTTTCCAAATGGTCAGTCCGCCCCTGGTATCATCTCATTGTCCCAGATCTGTAGCACTGACTGTATCTGGCTGGTGCTTAGTGCCCAAGGGTAGAAACACATTCATAAATTTGCTCTGTGCGTCAACATTGACTACTACTAAATTAAAGGGTAAGTCCACCCAAAACCAAAATGTAATATATTGCAGCTTACCAATCATTAGAAGCGGTGCCTGTAATAGTTTTCTTTTTTAGGCTTTTCTCCTCTGTTTTCACCTGGTGATCTAGCCAGTAACACACCACCTGTATTAGAGCGATCCCAGTCTGCATGAAGGAGCGCAGGGGTATAGCAGACAGCAATAGTGTCAGCCAGGGGCATCTCATGGGGCCCCCTACTGACCCCGGGCCCTCGGGCAGTGCCAGAGTTTCCAAATGGTCAGTCCGCCCCTGCCTCAGACATGAAACATTAAAAAAGCATATCCTTCTATAGTGTGAACTTGTCTCTATCTGGAGCACGAAGTGTCATTTTCTGTCTGCTGCTTTGTTCTTCTGCTATCAGCATGAATCACTTCTGACAAGTTTTTCTGACACAAAAAGAACAATGGTAACAGCGGAGAGACCTCCAAACACACAGCCTGTGATTGACAGCCTCTGCTCTGTTCCTTTGAGCGGTTGGGGGGGGGGGGGGGGGGGTTGTAACTCTTCCCTCCAATCAGCTCTCAGAGCTCTCCTCACTGAGCTCTGCAGTGTGCAATCCTAGCTCCCTGCCCCCTTTTGTCTGAACTCTCAGGCAAGCTGTATAAATTCAGCAGTTTGAATGGATATAGAGAACAGAATACTGCAGATAAACAGTTACAACTTATATAGCAGGATTTGTTTCATTTCTGTGTATCACCTGAGGCCAGTCACTCCACTGCATATATGCCCAAACTCAAAAAAGCCTATGAAAAAGGTACCAAGGGAACCTCACAGGGCCCCCTACTGACCCTGGGCCCTCAGGCAGTGCCAGAGTTTCCAAATGGTCAGTCCGCCCCTGCTCTGGAAGGTTTTACCCCCTTCATGATCAGAGCATTTTTTTTTACTATTCAGCACTCTGCTACTTTAAATGGCAATTCCGTGGTCATGCAGCACTGTACACAACTGAAATTTATCTTTTTTTCACACAAATAGTTTTTTTTGGTGGTATTTAATGGCCACTGGGATTTTTAATGTTTTAATTGTATAAATTGAAAATGCTGAACATTTACAATTTATTGTTTTCTACCTTCTGTTATAAAATACATTCACCGGCCACTTCTCAATTGCTTGGTAAAACACATTGCTACTCAGCCAATCACATGGCAGCAACTCAATGCATTTAGGCATCTAGATGTGGTGAAGATGACTTGCTGAAGATCAAACCGAGCATCAGAATGGGGAAGAAAGGGGATTTAAGTGACTTTGAACATGACATGGTTGTTGGTGGTGCCAGACGGGCTTGTCGAAGTTCAAACTGAGCATCAGATTGGGGAAGAAAGGGGATTTAAGTGACTTTGAACGAAACGTGACCTGGTTGTTGGTGGTGCCAGATAGACTTGCTGAAGTTCAAACCGAGCATCAGAATGGAGAAGAAAGGGGATTTAAGTGACTTTGAACGTGACATGGTTGTTGGTGGTGCCAGATAGACTTGCTGAAGTTCAAACCGAGCATCAGAATGGGAGAAAAAAGGGGATTTAAGTGACTTTGAACGTGACATGGTTGTTGGTGGTGGTGCCAGTCGGGCTTGCCGAAGTTCAAACCGAACATCAGATTGGGGAAGAAAGGGGATTTAAGTGACTTTGAACGTGACATGGTTGTTGGTGGTGCCAGACTGGTTTGCCGAAGTTCAAACCGAGCATCAGAATGGAGAAGAAAGGGATTTAAGTGACTTTGAACGTGACCTGGTTGGGCTGGTCTGAGTATTTCAAAAACTGCTGATCTACTGGGATTTTCATGCACAACCATCGGGGGATTACAGAGAATGGTCCATAAAAGAGAAAATATCCAGTGAGCGGCAGTTGTGTGGATGAAAATGCCTTGTTGAGGTCAGAGGAGAATGGGCAGACTGGTTTGAGATGGTAGAAAGGCAACAGTAACTCAAGTAACCACTCATTACACGCAAGGTATGCAGAATAAAATCTCTGAACGCACAACACACTGAACCTTGAAGCAGATGGGCTACAGTAGCAATAGACCACACCGGGTACCACTCCTGTCAGCTAAGAACAGGAAACGGAGGCTACAATTCGCACAGGCTCACCAAAATTGGACAACAGAAGATTGGAAAAACCTTGCCTGTTCTGAGGAGTCTCGCAAACCCTAGAGATGGTTGTGCGTGAAAATGCCAGGAGATCAGCAGTTTTTCAAATACTCAGACCAGCCCGTCTGGCAGCAACAACCATGTCATGTTCAAAGTCACTTAAATCCCCTTTCTTCCCCATTCTGATGTTTGGTTTGAGCTTCAGCAAGTCGTCTTCACCACGTCTAGATGTCTAAATGCATTGAGTTGCTGCCATGTGATTGGCTGATTAGCAATTTGTGTTACCAAACAATTGAACAGGTGTACCTAATAAAGTTAGTGCCTATTCAGTAAAAAATAGAAAAATCTAATTTCTTCATACAATATAGGCCAAAAAGTATTGTGCACATGCCTTTGGTAAAAAAAATCCCAGTAAGGCAACGTTCACACCCACACCTATGTAGTTTGTGTTTTATCCTTTTCTGCAGTTACTTTTTTGCAGTTGCCTTTTTGCTGCGTTTTAGATGTGTCTTGCGTTTTTTCTTCTTCTTGCTAGGCAGATTTAAAATGCAAACTGCATCAAAAACGCGGCAAAAATTTACTATATGCTTTTCTGCAGCATTTCCGTTGAAGTCTATAAAACCAAAAATGTAAATTTTGCATTCAAAAAAGTCTCTGACCCTTTCCAAAAAACGCACCGGGTGAAAACTCGAAGATATGAATGTGTCCCATAGAAAATCATGTTAAATGGACTGTAGTGCCTTTCTGCAAAACACTGCAGAAAACGCTTAAGCATGAACTTTCTGATCTGGCTGTTTTTTTTCCCTGCTTTTCAGGAAGAACAGCCAGATCACTGTTCTGTTTTGGTAATAGCAGTGATCAGCGACTTATAGTGGAACTGTGATAGGGTGGTGGGCAATTTGGCGCTAACAGACACTGGCTGGGAAGTACACTAACTAACTGACACCAATAGTGAAACTAATACAGTGATAATACTGTACACTGACACTGTACTAATGGCACTGGCTGGGAAGGGGTTAACATCTAGGGGCAATCAAGGGACTTTTACTTTCTGATCTGGCTGTTTTTTCTCCCTGCTTTTTAGAAAGAACAGCCAGATCACTGTTCTCTGTTTTAGTAATAGCGGTGATCAGCGACTTATGGTGGGACTGTGATAGGGTGGCGGGCAATCTGACGCTAACAGACACTGGCTGGGAGGTACACTAACTAACTGACACTGACATCAATCGTGAAACTAATTCAATGATAATACTGTACACTGAGACTGTACTGACACTGGCTGGGAAGGGGTTAACATCTAGGGGAAATCAAGAGAGACTGTGATAGGGTGGCAGGCAATCTGGCACTAACAGACACTGGCTGGGAGGTACACTAACTGACACCAATAGTGAAACTAATACAGTGATAATACTGTACACTGACACTGTACTATTGACACTGGCTGGGAAGGGGTCATCATCTAGGGGAAATCAAGAGAGACTGTGATAGGGTGGCGGGCAATCTGACGCTAACAGACACTGGCTGGGAGGTACACTAACTAACTGACACTGACATCAATCGTGAAACTAATTCAACAATAATACTGTACATTGACACTGTACTAATGACACTGACTGGGAAGGGGTTAACATCTAGGGGAAATCAAGAGAGACTGTGATAGGGTGGCAGGCAATCTGAAGCTAACAGACACTGGCTGGGAGGTACACTAACTGACACCAATAGTGAAACTAATACAGTGATAATACTGTACACTGACACTGTACTAATGACACTGGCTGGGAAGGGGTTAACATCTAGAGGAAATCAAGATAGACTGTGATAGGGTGGCAGGCAATCTGGCACTAACAGACACTGGCTGGAAGGTACACTAACTGACACCAATAGTGAAACTAATACAGTGATAATACTGTACACTGACACTGTACTAATGACACTGGCTGGGAAGGGGTTAACATCTAGGAGAAATCAAGAGAGACTGTGATAGGGTGGCGGGCAATCTGGCACTAACAGACACTGGCTGGGAGGTACACTAACTAACTGCCACTGGCATCAATAGTGAAACTAATACAGTGATCAGTGATAATACTGTACACTGACACTGTACTAATGACACTGGCTGGGAATGGGTTAACATCTAGGGGCAATCAAGGGACTTTTACTTTCTGATCTGACTGTTTTTTCTCCCTGCTTTTTAGGAAGAACAGCCAGATCACTGTTCTCTGTTTTGTAAACACAGAACTCAGTGTGTAATTGGACACAGCTGATCAACAGGTTTCAGCCAAAGTCAATATAAAACTGATTAAAATATCTGAAAGATCTACAATGTGGCCCTTGTACTGAAAAGCTTGGGGACCCCTGTTATTGTGTAGGCATAGAAAGTTATTTACTTATCAGTTTGCTGTTGTTATCTGCAGCCAAGGGGGCCGACCTATTTCATTCCACAACATGAGATGTTACAATAGGACATGAAGCAACAGGCGATACAAATGTATTGCTTGTGCATGAGAGAGGTGTCAGCGAGATGTTTCTCCTAATGACCTCTCCGGATTGAGGACCGAATTAAGTGTCTGGTTTCCTGAGCTTCCTGCACATTAATGTGACAATGCAGGGCTGGGGTTGTAGTAGGGGCAGTGGCGGACTGACAACTCATGGGGCCCCCAGGCAATAGGGTATCATGGGGCCCCTTGTCCTTGCCCAAACTCAAAAAAGCCTATGAAAAAAGTACCAGGGGCATCTCACGGGGCCCCCTACTGACCCCGGGCCCTCGGGCGGCGCTGAGTTTCCAAATGGTCAGTCCGCCCCTGAGTAGGGGATAGCATGAAAACATCTGCACAATATGGCTTTATTATCTTGTATTTATCAGAAGATTCAAGACAGAAAGGGATAAAGCAAATCCCTTTAAAGTGGTTGTCACCAGAACTGGTGTCCCCATTGGAAGATTTCCCCTCTATCCCTGTTCTGGTGTCAACCCAAAATTTAGTGTTTTCTTTCACTTTTAGCATGACTGTGATCGGTTTGTATATTAGTTGTGTCCTCGGGGGTGGACCATATCTGAAGGCAGCTCTCTGATTGGTTTGTGTTTTTTTTTTTGTCCATCTACCTCTGTCTTTCTGTGCAGGCCACGGGAGTCAGCAGTAAGCAGATTCTGGTTGCCGTCCTACCAGGGTTGCCCACATCAGCTGAGCTGTTTATTCTTCCCCACCAAGACAGCCCAGGGGAAGCCAAGAAGAAGACGGAAGATTTGACACAGGTACAATATATTATAAATGAATCAAATACAATCATTTCCCAGACTTCACATTCTATTCATAGTGGCCCATAAGGCTGCATTCACTCTTGGCGATTAGGAATTGCTATCAGAATCTTGGCGATTCCAAATCGTGGCAATACACACGGCATGTGTTTGGGAGTCATGCCGGACTCCCCTGAAAGTGGGACAGAGGGAGTCAGGCATGTGTTTGGGAGCCATTATTCTTAATGGCACCCCAAATGCGGTGCGGTTTTGCAACATGATTACAACGTTTCAGAGTCTCACAGGACCCCTTCATCATGCATGCCTGATGAAGGGGTCTATCACGTACCTGTTGATGGAGGCCAATGGAGAGAGGGCTTCCCTTGCGGCTAAGTTCCGGACTCCCCTGAGAGTGGCACAGCGGGAGTCAGGCCCAAAGTTGCACAGGTCGCCTGTAGGAGTGCTGGTTGGTGGTCCACTCAGAAGCACAGCTGGTGCACGGAGATAGGTCTGCAGACAGGAAGCGCCTGTGCGTGGTATGCAAGCCCTTCTGGGATTTAGATGTTTACTGGGTAGTCGGTTCAAGCCAAGGTCAGGTACCAGGTGGGAATCAGAGCATATGTAGTCAGATGGGATAGCCAAGGTCATACACAGAGGAGTGAGAGAGAGAGAGTATCCGTAAGCCAAGCCGAGGTCAGATCAGGGGTAAGGCAGAGTACACAGGTCCAGGAGCAAGCCGAGTCAGTAACAGGAAATCACGGGTCAAAATCACAGGAACAGGGCACGGGGAGCTAGATATCATCCACCAACTTGAGGAAGTGATGAACCTCCTTATAAAGGCCATCTGGCACCAACCTGAGGCTGATGTGTGCTTCTGCGGCCATGCAGAGTACTGGCAGAAATGCCAAATCTTCCAGAACTTCTGCCGTGGACAGGACCCTGACAGGGTCCTGCGAGACTCCGAATGTTGCCTTGCTGTAACTATGTGATCGTTCATGAAAACTTTTGGACCCGTTTTGGTGATCCTCGGTGTGCTGGTGACATTCTCCCTTACTGATTCTGTTCGATTCCAGCCGACGGTCGCTGCAGCACCCACTTATACACACGGCCATTTTTAACGCAGGAACGTGTACATTTGGATTGTACACTTGTATTTGCAACACAATTGTCGCGCAGCAAAACTCACATTTAAAAATTGCATGAAGCTCATCGCCCCAAAAAAGGTGCATGAACCTAATTTCTGTGACAAAGGCGCATAGGGCGGTGCATTCAAGTGAAAGGGCTGCTTTATTTATGACACGTGGAATCGCATGAAAATCATGCATAGAAAATTGTAAATGTGGATGCTGGTGGTGGCTCTACTCATCTATGTAGCCTGTTGGCCTTTTTAAATATTTTACGTGAGCATTCATAAATTTTCTCTGTGCATCACCATTGACTACTAGTAAATTAAAGGGTAAGTCCACCCAAAACCAAAATGTAATATATTGCAGCTTACCAATCATTAGAAGTGGTGCCTGTATTAGTTTTCTTTTTTAGGCTTTTCTCCTCTGTTTTCACCTGGTGATCTAGCCAGTAACACACCACCTGTATTAGAGCGATCCCACTCTTCATGAAGGAGCACAGGGGCACAGCAGACAGCAGTAGTGTCAGCCTGGGGGTAGAGGAGTGTTAAATATACTAGCAGATCTAAATACACTAACAAATTGAAGATGAACTCCAACTCATACTTTATAAATAGTTACAGCAACAGTTTTTTTTATTTTTGGGGGTGGTTTACATAAATTAATAAAATTGATCATTGTAAGCATCCTTTCTAGTGTTGAATGGTTTGTCTCATCCTTGTAACTGGTCCATCTGGAAGATAGCTTGTTCTTTTGGGAAACATCAGACTTATTGGCTGGATCACCAGAGGAAAATAGAAGAAAGAAAGCTTAAAAAAAGAAAGCTAATGTGGCCATCACATCTAGGAAATGGCAAGCTGCAATATAATAAATGTTTGCTTTTAGGTTTAATACCACTTAAGCAGCTTGTGTGTATATTGGGGCGCTTGCCTTTACACGCACATGACCTTTAATGGCCCCCCAGTCTTAGTCTGTAGGGTTCAATATTGAGTTGGCCCCGCCCTTTGCAACTATAACAGCTTCAACTCTTCTGGGAAGGCCGTCCACAAGGTTTAGGAGGGTGTCTATGGGAAGGTTGGACCATTCTTCCAGAAGAGCATTTGTGAGGTCAGGCACTGATGTCGGGGGAGGAGGCCTGGCTCGCAGTCTCCGCTCTAATTCATTCCAAAGGTGTTCTATGGGGTTGAGGTCAGGACTCTGTGCAGGCCAGTCAAGTTCCTCCACCCCAGTCTCGCTCCTCCATGTCTTTATGGACCTTCCTTTGTGCACTGGTGCGCAGTCATGTTGGAACAGGAAGGAGCCATCCTCAAACCTTTCCACAAAGTTGGAAGTATGAAATTGTCCAAAATGTCTTGGTATGCTGACGCTTTAAGAGTTGCCTTCATTGGAACTAGGGGGGCCAAGCCCAACCCCTAAGAAACAACCCCACACCATAATCCCCCCTCCACCAAACTTTACACTTGGCACAATGCAGTCCGGCAAGTACCTTTCTCCTGGCAACTGCCAAACCCAGACATGTCCATTAGATTGCCAGACAGAGAAGCATGATTTGTTACTTTAGAGAACACACCTCCACTGCTCTAGAGTCCAGTGGTGGCGTGCTTTACACCACTGCATCCAACGCTTTGCATTGCACTTGGTGATGTAAGGCTTGGATGCAGCTGCTCTGCCATGGAAACCCATTCCATGAAGCTCTCTACACACTTGCTGATGTGTTGTGCTAATCTGCCTGCACAGAGCCCTGACCTCAACCCCATAGAACACCTTTGGGATGAATTAGAGCGGAGACTGCGAGCCAGGCCTCCTCCCCGACATCAGTGCCTGACCTCACAAATGTGCTTCTGGAAGAATGGTCCAACCTTCCCATAGACACCCTCCTAAACCTTGTGGACGGCCTTCCCAGAAGAGTTGAAGCTGTTATAGGTGCAAAGGGCGGGGCCAACTCAATATTGAACCCTACGGACTAAGACTGGGAATGCCAGCAAAGTGCATGTGCGTGTAAAAGCAGGTATCCCAATACTTTTGGTAATATAGTGTGTGTGTGTGTATATATATATATATATATATATATATATATATATACATACACACACACAAAAGAAAAGGTCGATAGCACCTGCTGCTAATATGATTAATGCCATTAAGAAGAGTCCTGTCCTCCGGACTCAATGTAGAGCAAAAAAGTCCAAATAGGGTTGCAACATTAATATAATATATATATATATATTTTTTTTTAATCAAAAAAAAAAAAACAAACAAAAATTAAATCACATATTGGCAATATGTGATTTAGTTTTGTTTGATTTTCAAAAATATAATACTTATGCTGCAACCTTTTATATTTACACCAGAGGCCAGTGTGTACTGTATACATAGAGACCAGTGGCATCACTGAGAATGTGGGATATATATATATATATATATATATATATATATATATATATATATATATATTATATCCCTGCAGATCCTATTTAATGAACTCCATCTTATGGAAATATGATGACTTCTCTAACTTGAACATATTTGTTTTGCTGTGTTTTATAGTGTTGTGAATGTGTGTAGCTCATTAAGTTGCGCATTGCTTTTTGGAGATACTAAACGCAGTGATTAAGTATATACTTTGATGTTTTATGATATAACTTACGGTAATGTGTGTTTATCTAACGCTCCAGGCATTTTACCTTTTTTCTGAATTACCGCTTTAACACCTTATATCTGCGGGTTTATAGAACTGCCAGCCCAAACACTCTCTCACCACTTTCGGCTTTTATTTCTACAGATCTGCAGGCAGGGCTTGGAGCACTTCATAGAGAAATAATGAGTACTGAGATGCTACATGAGGCAGGTCAATGGAGATCATCCACTTCTAACAAAACAACAAAAGATTTTGTCATTCTGGGCTTGCTTACTAGCTGTCGGCGCCCTCACCTTGATGGGATTTCCAGAATACAGGCTGCTGCTGGTTTTGATTTACAGCCCAAGAAATAACCGATACAACCTTTTACTTGCTAAGCTCGATAAAAAAATACTGACTTGCACAAGTCAGTGACTGGAGTGCGGTTGTTTCTACATTGTCCTATAAGTACCATGGCCACGGCATGCAACTTACTAAAACTTAATACAAGAGATGAAAAGACTTACTGTACATACTGCATGAAACGTATTAGAAGGTTTTCACCTGGTTTTAGATTGGAGAACCGCAATGTGAATGCAGCCTACCTGTCCCTTACAGACTGACAACACCCCTGGACAATGCAGCCCGTTCACAAGGGAGAGGTGACATCACTGATAGCCAGGGGCGGACTGACAACTCATGGGGCCCCTGGGCAATAGGGGATCATGGGGCCCCTGTGTCCTTGCCCAAACTCAAAAAAGCCTATGAAAAAGGTACCAGGGGCATCTCATGGGGCCCCCCTACTGACCCCTGGCCCTCGGGCAGTGCCCGAGTTTCCAAATGGTCAGTCCGCCCCTGCTGATAGCATAGCCTATCCATTTAAAGCAGTAGTAATCTGCATAAAAAAAAAAAAAATCCCCTGCAAGGTAATGGCAGGAATGCGGTCTACCAATTCCATAGAGATCACTGACATAACTAAGAATGTATGTAAAGAGTAAATATGCGAGCGCTATCTGAAAGGGAAATAGCTGCTGAAACACCAAAAAGGCAACCAAACAGAACCCTCTAATGCAAATCTCAATATGAAGGTGCAGCGCTAAAACAAAGTACAGTTGTGGCCAAAATTATTCAACCCCCAATGCTGTAAAGGGGTTTAGGGACTATAGTGTACATTTGGAATTGTATTCAGAATCAAATCCTACAAGGACGTTGTAACTACCCAAATGCAACTAAAATGACATCAATTGTTTATGTAATACAGTAGTAAATGGTTCTTATGTGGTTTCTTCATTGCCACAATTATTCAACCCCTTAAAGACTACCACTCTGAAGAACAGAGGTTCATACAGGTGCTTTCCATCAGGTATTGAAAACACCTGTGGATGTCACCGAGCAGCAATCAAGCATAATAAGCACCAATTAGGCAGCTTTAAAATGACTGTGATACTCAGCTCCTTCTAGACATTTACTGGTGTGGTTACAAACATGGTGAAGGCAAGAGAATGGTCCAGGAAGACAAGAGAAGAGGTGATTTCTCTTCACAGGAAGGGCAATGGCTATAAGAAGATTGCAAAGATGTTAAACATACCAAGAGACACCTTAGGAAGCATCATTCGCAAATTCAAGGCAAAGGGCACTGTTGAAACGCTACCTGGTCGTGGCAGAAAGAAGATGCTGACTTCGACTGCTGTGCGCTACCTGAAGCGTAGAGTGGAGAGAAGTCCCCGTGTGACTGCTGAGGAACTGAGAAAAGATTTGTCAGATGTGGGTACAGAAGTTTCAGCCCAGACAATAAGACGCACACTGCGTAATGAAGGCCTCCGTGCCAGAACTCCCAGGCGTACCCCCTTGCTGTCTCCAAAGAATAAGAAGAGTCGACTGCAGTATGCCAAAAGCCATGTGGACAAACCACAAAAGTTGTGGGATAGTGTTCTGTGGACTGATGAAACAAAATTAGAACTGTTTGGGCCCATGGATCAACGCTATGTTTGGAGGAGGAAGAACAAGGCCTATGATGAAAAGAACACCTTGCCTACTGTGAAGCATGGTGGAGGGTCAATCATGCTTTGGGGCTGTTTTGCTTCTGCAGGTACAGGGAAGCTTCAGCGTGTGCAAGGTACCATGAATTCTCTTCAGTACCAGGAGATATTGGATGGAAACGTGATGCAGTCCGTCACACACACCTGAGGCTTGGGAGACGTTGGACCTTTCAACAGGACAATGATCCCAAGCATACCTCCAAGTCCACTAGAGCATGGTTGCAGAGGAAAGGCTGGAACATTTTGGAGTGGCCATCGCAGTCACCAGACTTAAATCCGATTGAGAACCTCTGGTGGGACTTAAAGAAAGCAGTTGCAGTGCGCAAGCCTAAGAATGTGACTGAACTGGAGGCCTTTGCCCATGAAGAATGGGCGAAGATACCCGTAGATCGCTGCAAGACACTTGTGTCAAGCTATGCTTCACGTTTAAAAGCTGTTATAACTGTAAAAGGATGCTGTACTAAGTACTAAGATTGAATGTCACTTGGGGGTTGAATAAAACTGATAATGCTGTGAGCACAGAAAAGACATTTGTGGTTATTTCATTATAACTGTTATGTTATATTTGTCTGACCTACAAGTGCCTCTTTAATGTAAATGTAAGCAAGATGACTGAATGATCAAAAGCAATGTCAAACTGGCCAAAACACTCAATTTCAGTGGGGGTTGAATAATTTTGGCCACAACTGTATGCAATATAAAGATATATCTCATAAATAGTGTATAACAATGAGAAGGTGCAGCATTATAAAAACTGTGCAGCATGGATAAATGACAAGTCATATGCTCAGTATGTTGGCAATGATAATAAGCAATTGCAGATCAAACATGAAAATCAATCAACAAGTATAAATAATGTGAATAAGTGATGTCACCAATTGGTGAGTATGGTGCATAAAAAGTCCCAGGTAAACTGCCCACGTGAGGATCCTGTGTGATCCCGATAAGCATGCGTGGAGAATTAGTCCAAGTGGCAGATAATCCAAAGTAAATGAATTGCGCACTCACCAGAAGTGCGTGTAAATACTCATTTGAGATATAACCTATCTCAACAGGTATAGCTTAGGTCATCCGCCTCCCAGGTCAGGTCAGGATCCAGTATACTTCCCAGTCACATCTGTATGGAGTACTCAGGGATCCTTGATGCGTATCACCAATAGGGGTCACCCTTAATGCAGCCTCTGGGGATGGCCCTCATGAAGAGGGACCAATAAAAGAGATCACATAGCGTGATACTGTAGGGAACTTTATTCCATCAAAGAAAAGTGCAATAACAAAGTTAAAAGACTACGTGCATCGTACGAAACGCGTCAGTGGGGCTACAGCAACTGGATGTCTAGCCACCGCTGGTGGCCATCCTGATTTCCCACTATATGGTCAATGTTCTTTTAACTTTGTTATTGCACTTTTCTTTGATGGAATAAAGTTCCCTACAGTATCACGCTATGTGGTCTCCTTTATTGGTCCCTCTTCATGAGGGCCATCCCCAGAGGCTGCATTAAGTGTGACCCCTATTGGTGATACGCATCAAGGATCCCTGAGTACTCCATACAGATGTGACTGGGAAGTATACTAGATCCTGACCTGACCTGGGAGGCGGATGACCTCAGCTATACCTGTTGAGATAGGTTATATCTCAAATGCGTGTTTACACGCACTTCTGGTGAGTGCGCAATTCATTTACTTTGGATTATCTGCCACTTGGACTAATTCTCCACGCATGCTTATCGGGATCACACAGGATCCTCACGTGGGCAGTTTACCTGGGACTTTTTATGCACCATACTCACCAATTGGTGACATCACTTATTCACATTATTTATACTTGTTGATTGATTTTCATGTTTGATCTGCAATTGCTTATTATCATTGCCAACATACTGAGCATATGACTTGTCATTTATCCATGCTGCACAGTTTTTATAATGCTGCACCTTCTCATTGTTATACACTATTTATGAGATATATCTTTATATTGCATACTTTGTTTTAGTGCTGCACCTTCATATTGAGATAACTAAGAATGTAGCCTATCCATTCACTAGAGACCAATGACATCACTAAGAATGTAGCCTATCCATTCACTAGAGACCAATGACATCACTAAGAATGTAGTCTACCCATTCCTTAGAAACCAGTGATATCACTAAGAATGTAGCCTATCCATCCATTAGAGACCAATGGCATCACTGAAAATGTAGCCTATCCATCCACTAGAGACCAATGACATCACTGAAAATGTAGCCTATCCATCCACTAGAGACCAATGTCATCACTGAGAATGTAGCCTATCCATCCACTAGAGACCAATGACATCACTGAGAATGTAGCCTATCCATCCACTAGAGACCAATGACATCACTGTGCATGTATCCTATCCATCCAATAGAGACCAATGATTTCACTTAGAATGTAGCCTATCCATCCACTAGAGACCAGTGACATCATCAAGAATTCAGCCTATCCATTCACTAAAGACCAATGACATCACTTAGAAAGTAGTCTATGCATTTTCTAAAGACTAATCACATCACATTGACAGCAGAGTTTCCATTTATTAGAGACCACTGTCAGTGCTAAGAATATGGCCTACCCATTCCTTAGAGATCAGTGACATCACTTGGAATAAAGCCTATCCAGTCAATAGATAGAAGTAACATCACTAAGAATGCAGGCAGCTAATCCATTAATTTGTGAACAGATCAGATTGGTGCCTTTGTAATCACTCTTATCTAATTATTTAAATCGCTCTCATGTACTTAAATGTCCTCATCAATACTGCTTTACTCAACAAAGTGACCTCCTCGGTTTGTGGGTGCGTTTGGTCTATATTAAACCACAAAGGTAATATGGGGTATTCTCCCAGCCCGGTCTAAATTGGTTGTGAATGGAATGCACAAATTCACACATTTATGAGTAAAGCGGATCCCCTCTGGCTTCTGCGAGAATATTGCATTCCAGAGAAATCTTTTCTTTCTGAAATCCCTGAGCCTCAGTGGTCATAAAGAAAGGGAGCATGGAGGAGGAAGCAGCTCAGAGCTCCACAGGAGACACGAAGGAAGCATGGAAAAGCCCACAGCTGCATCTGGCCGTCAGGTTAAATCAATCATACTTCATTGGATTCATAACAGAGTTCAATGAGGGAAACAATAGCATTTTGGCATCAGTAAAGGCAGCACTTACAGGTATATTAACTCTATGACATCCAGAAATGTTGAAGCAGGTATCCAATTTTTTTATAAAAAGCCTTGCACTTGTAAAAATTGAAAAACTAGCTTTAGCTGCCTTCAGTCCACATTGTCCCCAGCAGAAGGTCCCCTTCTCCACCGGATGGCTTTCCTCTTCCAGCCTTAATGACAGGCATCATCAATCATCCTAGTTCCTGTAGGGACAGGCTGTCATGAACACCCCCAAAGGGGTTCCTCACCACAACGGTCTGGACTTACAGTACTTCTGCATGAAATGGAGCTCACACTTAATACATGAGTGTCATTGAGTGCAAGAGAAGAGGAAGAACGTGGAACATCAGAAGCCAGAAGATCCTGGGAAAGAAGATATGTAGAATTTAATTTTTTAGGTACATGTCCCTTAAAACTGGAGATTGGTTTTAACCATCCAAGATGAAATATAGGAGGGTTGAGTGTTTCTCTAGTTTTTTTATAACTCCTGGGAATTCAGACCTAAAACACACTAAGGCTCGGTTCACAGTGCCGCGATTTGGGATCCAACTTGTAGGACCCCAAGTCACATGACATGTGAAATCCCATGTTAGTCAATGAGAGCTGTTTTAATTAGCACTACTGAAGTTGCTCCAACTTCAATGCAACTAATTCAATGCAACTTTAAC